AGGCAATTCATCGTCTTTCTAAATTTTAACGCGTCTTAGGGCCGTAGTGCGGTAGTGACACTTTTCCGGACATGGGTCCCTATACTCAAATGTTTTCTACTGTTGCACTGAATAACCCCTAGAAGTTTGATCCCATAGTTCTGAAACACCCTGTATAGGAGGAGCTAATATAACAGCATATACTATAACATATACATATTAAAATATAATCGTGCGAAGCGCGTCGGACTGTCCTACGCGCGTAAGACAGCCCGATGCACGCTTATTCGCTGATCTTTGTTAATTAAGATCTCAATAACTATTGCAAATCTAACAAAATGGTATAGGACTTATCGACCCAGTTTTACTCTTTCTATCTGTTTACGGGAAATGTTACACTAATTCTGGGACACCCTGTATATATACAGAATGTTTCACCTAACTTGAGCATCCCAAATATTTCGCCTATTTTTTATGATAGGAGGATGCCAAAAAGGGTCATTATTCATATTCAGTTCGAGAAGACAAATACTGTAATAAACAGAAAATTTTTTCAAAATCATATTTTTAAAGATTTAAAGGTCATTGTCACTTTTTAAATCTGTAAGTACATGTTTATCCTCGCGATATGATAGGCAAGATCAAGACGAATCTAAAAAGTTCTTGTTTATTACAGTATTTGTCTTCTCGATCTGAATAATGACCTTTTTCGGCCTCCTCTTATCATAAAAAATGAGCGAGATATTTAGGATGCTAAAGTTAAGTAAGAAACTCTGTATATGTGTGTGTATATATAGAGAGTGTCCCGTAATTGGCGTCTCATCGCTCGTAGGCAAGAAGAAGGGGTTATTCTAAGACGAAAAGTCTTATGCCACTTTGGAAGATTCGCAATAATTAACGAGATATGAATTAATAAAGATCCGCTAAGGCAAGATCAGCGTGCATCCAGCGTAAGGAGAGCGTAAGGACAGCTTAGTCTTTCTCGCGGATAGCGCGATCCCCGAACGCAGCTTATATGCTGTTTAGGTGCACATACTATTCTATTAGTTCCTCCCATTCCAACGCAACGGCGCGTCTACGCGAAAGACTAGGCTATTCTTACGCTCCCTTTACGCTGGATGCACGGTGATTAGCCGATTTTTATTATTTCATATCTTGTTAATTATTGCGAATCTTCCAAAGTTATATAGAACTTTTTGTCTTAGAATAACTCCTTCTTCTTGCCTATGATCGGTGAGACGGCAATTCTGGGACACCCTGTATATATATGTTGATATTACACTCACGTGTAAATTTTTACACGTAAGTTTGAATTGAAATTTTAATTCTTAAATTCACACACATATAGAATGCTATATTTATTATCACTTATATGAGAAATCCCTGGAATTCGGAGATTCCAGGTTTGACTCCTGGTCGAGATGTTTTGTTTACAATATTTTAAAGTAGATAAAGGGGATAAACAAGAATTTCTAATATAAGTGATGCAAATATAGCATTCTATATGAATTTAAGAATTGAAATTTTAATTCAACTCACGTGTGAAAATTTACACGTGAGTATAATATAAATGAGTAATATAAATATATTGTAATATAAATATAGTGTAATATAAATATATATACATTATATATATATATATATATATATATATATATATATATATAGACATATATATATATTTATTTATTTCACAACAAACATTCAGCATAAAGCTCTCGTGAAAGTTTAAATTTCGCGCTGTTAATTTGAAACTTAAGAGCCTAAAACTCTTTATTAATTATTTATAAATGTCTTATTTTTTCTTTTCCTAGTTTATTATTGTCTATGGTTTAATGGGCTATGAACCATTATCATACGAGGATTATGTTTATCCTGTTTGGGCAAATATATTGGGCTGGCTGATCGCATGTTCCTCTATTGTTATGATCCCAGGTATGGCAATTTACAAAATCAGCGTCACACCTGGATGTTTTATTCATGTAAGTATAATAAAGAATAAAACAAAATACAAAACAAATTTTATTTAAATTCAGTGAAAGAAATTGCGGCTCTGTTATTTAAAATATAAAAAGAAAAAGATCTTAAAGAGCATATAACACGGTTGTTGATTGTATAAAAATGTAATTTATTGTGTGAAATAATACAGTAAAATACAGTAAATTCAGACGTTTCGACTGGGAAGTTTGGTCTTTTTTAGTGAAATATGTATATCTGAAGCTAAAATGTTGAGTGTATAAGTAATAAACTCTGAACAAAGTACTAAACAATAAAGCAATATCTATACAGTAAGTAAAGAAAACTATAAATTACTCACAAAACAAAGGAGGTGATATTATATTACGTAACATATTGTAGTGTCTATGACTTGCATAGGTAGATAGTCAAGAGGAGACTGAGTGTTGTATAATTTTTGAATTTAATATACAAAGGAAAACACACAAACTTCAACACTTAGTGCTCGAGATTTAAAACAAGGTGTGCCATTAAATTTGACTATTCACTAATCTACTTTCACTAATTTATTTATTTAATGTGTTTTTTACGTTAATGATCGTGTACATTTATTAGTTTTTTAACACTACTCTGTTGTATTTCACTTTGACTTGTCAGATTACTCACTTGCGGCATGACTTTGACTGGGATTGCAATATGTTATACTATCACCTCTCATAGCACATAATATAACTGTAAGATCACAATAATATTGCTTTTCCATTGCAATATTACACTCTAATATAGTAGAAATATTACCGTAATATTAATATGTTACGTCCTAACCCATGGATACGGTCGAGCTATGATAAAGTGCAACAGATAATCGTCGTTTTTCTAAGTCTCTGCACAGTAGACACAGAAGTCCCGTTGTGCAAGAGTCGAGTTTGATTGCACAGACGGGTCAACGGCACGCACCGATCTTACTCCGTCAGTGAAGCCTCGCTCGTCGGTCCCCTTTTAAGTCTAGAGCGTTAGCTCTAATATAACTAAGGACGAGACCGTGCGATCGTTTGAGGATGTGGAAATGAGAAGTCGTTTAAATGAATGAATCATGATAATACAAATTTATTCATCCGCATAGATATATGTTTTACGATTGAGTGAAAATCCGATGAGTGTGTATCGTGAAATTTACAATTTTTGGCGGGTTATTATTTGGAGGCGGGATAGGAGTATGTATATATGTGCACATGTATGTGTGAGGAAGGCCTCCGGTGGGTTTTTGTGAGTGTGCGTATGTTAGGCCGATTCGTGGCATGATGAGTACGCAGGAACTTTGGTTATAGTTGTAGACAAAAGGGGATAGAAATGGTGGAAAAACCTTAGAACGTTGTAGTGGAAGTTAGCGTTGGGAAGGATTACTAGAATGGTCTCAAAAGGGGAAGAGAACAAGACGTTTCGTCGGAGTTGATCTGAGATTAACACGTTAAAATTTAGGACATATTGGTTCGCGGGAATTAGGAAATTGGAACGGAGGAAGTAGGTAACAAGATCCTCTATAGTAGGCGGTCGAGAAAGAGGATGATGCGCAGGAGGAGAGAGCATCTGCGATGTCGACTATTTCTATTTCTTCTTTGTCTGAGGATTCAGAGGCAAGAGGGGAAGAAGGGAGAGAAACTATGTGAAGGGAAAGAAACTCATATTCTATTTCGATCTCTGAATTGTCGTGACTCTCGGGTTCCGAAAAGGCAGGAGAGAGGGTAGATTCCGAGAAGAAGCGGGTAAAAGGTGGTTCGAGAGGGAGTTGAAATTTTCCGGACTTATATGTGCGGCTGAGGAACGCCGTCGTCTGCGGGAGAATCGGGACTTATAGGGAAGTACGAGGGAGGTTGACGGATCAATTTGGTGATGTGTATGTGTCGGGGAGTCAATGTCGCGGATATCGTTTGTTTCGTCTAATGTATTTGTCGAGTTATCATTGTTATTATTATTAGTATCATCATTACTATTGCAGGAGGAATCAATGTATAAAGGGTCACTATTGTTACAGTTTCTTGCTGTTACGTCCGATGCGGTGTTAATGGGTCTGTCCGGCTCAAGCGAGGGCGGCAGCTCGGCGCAACTTCCGGTTGTGCCGGTTGCACTGAGCTTTCTTTCCCGATCGCGATGTTTTCTGTGGTTCCACCTGAATAATTTGATATACAATTACATGTAATTATATATCGTGTTATTTCAAATCAGCTTCGCGAGTTTCGGAAATGTAAGCTTGACTTTATTTCAGTTTTATAGATAAATTACTAGAGAGAGAGAAAAAGTCCAGAAAGAGGAAAAACTCGGACGCTATCCGAGGCGGCTCAACACCGCGAATAGATCTTCCGATTCAAGAAAAAGGAGCAAGTGCTCTTATTTATTTATTTATTTGCTACTTGAATTGGCTTGCAAGAGTGATTTTTCGATTCCTCCGAATATTAGTCGCGGAAATTAGATAAGATGAATTCTAATGAATAGTTTTGGATGCGATAAAGTTGAACCTTTGGAAGAGTGTAAGTGGCTTTTTGTATAATTGTTAGAACTTACTTGGTTAGGTTGGTTGCTTCTTCGGCTCCTGGAGGATTCCCCGGTAGCTAGTGCCCGTATGGCTTCGCTGTTTGTTCGGCGGAGCTTTACTGCACTTCGCGTACTTACTATTTACTTCCCAGCAAACATAAAGTAACAGTAACGTAACATTAATGTTATAATTTCCCACTCAACGATGTAACTGCAATGTAACATGCCTTGTACGTAACAGTTACATTGTTGAGTGAGAAATTATAACATTAATGTTACGTAACTGTTACTTTGTGTTTGCAGGGTTCTTACTCAAAAATCGTTCTAGAGAACTCTGATGATGGCGTCGGCTGAATTGCTCTTTTTATACAAAATTTCTGGAAGAGAGAAGACTTTAAGAGCCTGTAAAGCTCTTTTAATTGTAACGGAAGATTCGGGCCCTTTTCCTCACTAAGTATAAAACTTTGAAATCTTATTTGTTAATTAGTCGTGGAATCGCCAATCGTCGACAATCATCTTATCTCAGATAGTTTGTCTAAATTTTAAAGAAAGAAAAAAGGGAAAGAGTTTGTTTTTTTGATTATCATACAGACCCTTTTATATTTCCTGAGTGATAAATAAAGGTTTATAAAGAGAACCTTCAAAGATGTCCCCTTCCAATTTGGAACGAGTCCCAACTTTAAACGCGTTTTCCGTGCGCGTTAAGTTCAGACAGTTTGGTAACTAAGCGGTGTGGCTCAATAAATAATGCGCTCGGCGTATCACTCTGCGTATTACTGGTTCAAATCTCTTTTTTTTTTTAATTTTTTTAAAATATTTGTACTGTATTATATTGTGTAAGCGTATTGGCGCACATAATTTTTATTTATTTTATTTAAAAAATCAATGTTTGTATTATAAAACTAAATTAAGAAATTATGAAACTTATTGATTTCTAATGTTTTTAATGTTGTGTAATTTATAGACTGTTATTTGCAATAAAGAAATCAATTAAATAAAAAGATAGGGAAAAGGCAATAACGAGCTACACATGACCAGATGTTTGAGTAAAATTCTTCTTTAATCCGAGGAATTAAAAAAAGACACAAATCTATCGATTCACTATAGGATCTTCTTTAGTGTCTCTTTATAAAAAAAACTTACAATGAATACATGATCTATTCGCGAAGATAATAAAGAATATAGATACAGAAAAAATACGCTAAACACTTACTCAATTTGAGGGAAAAAAGAGAAGTAGCAATTAAGTAACCGTCAGTCGTACGCAAGAAGACGCGAAACATCTTCCGCTTTGAAGACAACCGACAGACTGAGCAGCTCTCCTCCACATTCATTGTACATGTAACGGTCTTCCCACTCCACCACAACACTTGAAAACGAACAGAGAATGACTATGTCACCTTGTAATTTTCCAAATATGAAAAATACGTTTCAGCTTGTCAGTGTCCGACATGACGTTAATTGAATTACCTTGTAACTTGATATGTATCATCTCGAAAACGGATCTCTTGAAAGATCAAGATTCTGTGTCCAAACTTTTGGTATTTTGCCAATTCAAATTGTGGTCCGTATCAATTCTATGCTGTGTAACGACAGAAAAATTCTTCGCGCGACGATTAATCTGATTTTTGTGTTCGGAAATCTTAGTTTTGAGTTGTCTCATGGTCTGGCTTACGAAGCATCGCAATCATTACATTGCAACTTGTAAATTACGGTTTTTCTTTGTTCACTTTCTACCGGATCTTTGATATTTTTAATACATTGATTTAATTTATTGAGACTTTATATAAGCTAACAAATTTCCATCTTCCCTTTTCAACGACTTTGAAATCGTCGTTGAAAAGGGAAGATGGAAATTTGTTAGCTTATATAAAGTCTCAATAAATTAAATTTGAAATCGTCGTTGAAAAGGGAAGATGGAAATTTGTTAGCTTATATAAAGTCTCAATAAATTAAATCAATGTATTAAAAATATCAAAGATCCGGTAGAAAGTGAACAAAGAAAAACCGTAATTTACAAGTTGCAATGTAATGATTGCGATGCTTCGTAAGCCAGACCATGAGACAACTCAAAACTAAGATTTCCGAACACAAAAATCAGATTAATCGTCGCGCGAAGAATTTTTCTGTCGTTACACAGCATAGAATTGATACGGACCACAATTTGAATTGGCAAAATACCAAAAGTTTGGACACAGAATCTTGATCTTTCAAGAGATCCGTTTTCGAGATGATACATATCAAGTTACAAGGTAATTCAATTAACGTCATGTCGGACACTGACAAGCTGAAATGTATTTTTCATTTTTGGAAAATTACAAGGTGACATAGTCATTCTCTGTTCGTTTTCAAGTGTTGTGGTGGAGCGGGAAGACCGTTACATGTACAATGAATGTGGAAAAGGAACTGTTCAGTCTGTCGGTTGTCTTCGGTTGCTTTCCAGCAAGAAGACACAAACAAACAGTGTCAGACACAAAAAAGCTGTGTGAAGCTGCTT